CAGTTGTCTCTAAAGGTCCGCCAGAAATCGTTCTCAGAATTGATCTGCGCGATCATAAATATCGACGACACTAATAAATGGACTCTCGTATGTCTCACAGCTGCCTGTCGGATTGCAATTGAAAACACGAAGGATAAAAAAAAGCTACACTGCGTGCTAGATATTGTCGATCATTTTAATCGAGTGCATAAAACGTGGATGGTGTTGTCGACCTAGTTGAGAAACTTTGCATAGGCCATCAGCCGCAATGCGTATACACCTAATTTCACATCTGTATCAAGCAAAATTATTTTGCTTTAGCCTACTTTATTTTCCGTTACAGTTTCTCTACAATTTTATCGTGATATACTTGACTACTTTGGAAACTTTCTTTAGAAAAAAAACGACGTCTAGCTCCCAGTTTAATACTTGATTCAAATTCAGGTTTATAATTCTAGGAGTAAAAATTTCTAAAAATCGAAATTTGATTTGAGTATTTTTGTAAGCTGTTAGCCTTGAATATACAACAAAAAATAATAGATGTCGTTGTTTCACTCGAGAATTCGTACAAATTGTGAATTTACGTCGTCGTTTGACGCGTCGACGTGCCGGAAATTTTGAAAAATTGCGGCCGCAAGTCGCTATGTCTGGAGATCATTCCGCATCATCCTCCTCTTTAGACGTTTTCGCGGCATATAATGACGTCAACTGCGGTAAGCGTCAGCGCACATTGCAGCTCGACGACGCGCAGTCGCGCGGCGACGCGGATCGATGCACGTCTTTGCGAGGGTTCCATATCACACGAGGAAACCAGGATAGAGTATGCGCGCGGGTGGTGGACTCGGCCTGCGGTAAAAAGGAGAGACTTCCCTTGCGGTAAAAAGGAGAGACTTCCCTTACGTGGAACCCTGATGTGAAACCGATGATACAAATGCGTGCGCTCGCATCTCTACATAAAACGGGCTTCGATGAGCTCGCGAGAAACGCAAAGATCAGTGCTAAGTGCTAACACGTATTATTCAAGGAGAAGAGTTAAAGCTTTTAACGTGCTACGTCGAGCTTGCGATGTAATAACGGAATGTTGCGACGATGCGAATAGTTTTGTACGCGTTGAATTCTGCAAGATGTAGAAACCCAGTGCGGGCGGGAAACACAACAGAACTCGCGGCTCTTGGTGGTTGAAATTCTCTGAGAAATCCGCCCCGATTGATGAAGCTGTCTCCTTAAAGGTAATTTCTATTTTCCGTCCAGTAGCACGCGTCGCGGACCTTATCGAACGAAGAGTTTCTTATATAACAGCCTGAAACAAATATATGGCTTGATTGAAAGATCTTTATTTGGCATATCTTACCAGAATGTTAGAAAACTCGAAAACGAACCATCTTTACAAATGCTGAAGCAAAATATCAAGGATCTCCGACTGATTTATAGACTCTATTAAATCATCGTCGACTTCACTTCAATCCAAGCCAATATAAATAGCATGTTAATTTGACCTAATACATTAGTCAAACACTTTCGCCCGCATAAGATGGACAAGCGCGAGTAGAAAGACGGTGGATTGGTGACCGATCGAGTAATCAATCCAATCGAAGCAAGATGCCGAAACCAGTCCCGGTCGAGGACCTGGTGATACCGCCGCAGGATAGCCGCATCTGCGGCACGATCTGCATCTGCCAGATGACGATGGTGCTGTCCTCGGTCGCGTTGGTATATCTCACGGTCGCGATCTACATGCCATGGGGACGGGCGTATCAATCGGGCATCAGCGAGGTGCCCGCGATGTGCACGACGATTCGCGCGGTGAACGCTGACAATTGCGAATGGGGCAGCTGCGGCGAGTGGTGTTTGTCCAAGACGTCCGGGCCGTGCGCGCAAATTCACGTGAATCTACGTAGAAATGGCTCGAGGATCCTACTAGCAAACTGTACGAACACGACGAACAAAACGTGCTACGGCATCGATCAGGAGAACGCGAAGCGTTCCAAGTGCATCGCGGACGAGTGCCGTAATCTCACCGGCACCTTCAACTGCTCCGCGGGCACCTGCATCAACATCACCGACGCCTTCGAGTGTATGTTCCACGACACGGATTCGCCCCTCAAGTGTTCCGGTCGTCGCGGCAAGATCACCTGCATCGACATAGACGGTTTGTTTAACTGTAATCGCGGCACCTGCGAGCGCATACGTACTCCATACAATTGCGACCGCAGGTGCGTCGACATCCCGACCAGGAACAAGAATATGATCCTCATGAGCGGCGACAAGGTGTACCTGAGCCAATGCGAGCGAGCGATAGATGTGGAGACCAATCGAGAGATCTGGCACGAGGATCGCGGTGACATCATGATGGCGTCTTGCTACGGGATCTTCAATTCCACGATGGGCGTGGAGGCGGTGGATTGCATCAACGGCTCCGTGCTGGAGAAGGATCTGCTGACCGATTTGACCAACTTCACGTACCTGTCCTATCTGAATATATACGCCACGAAACCTCTCGACAAGCACGTCGCGCCGCCGGAACAGAGTTTGATCATCGCCAACGAGAGCCGATTGCTTATCAATCTCGAGGGATGCGTGAATACACTTCGGGACGAGTGCAAGGATTTTCTTCACAAATACGGGAAGGATGGATCCGATCATAACGCCCGTGCCAGATTCCCATGTTACTACGCAGAGGACAACACGGGCATTGTCGTGTCTCGTTTCGATCTCGAAACGACCTATAAAGAATTCTTAATCGCCCTATTGCTGCCGAGTATCCTGTTTGTCATCAGCTGTCTGACATTGATCTTCTGTCAGAGGACAGTCGTCGTCGGGGACGACGCTAAAATGAGGTTCAAGGGCAAGCCCGGCACGCTGGTCTCGATAGAGAGGAGCGCGTCGGGTAACTTAGGGGATGCTGGCGGAGGAGATTCTGTTATGGCGCTCTGAGATCCGTCACGTAAGAAACATTTCAGTTCGGCAGAAAATGGTCGCGGTCTTGAGGCATGGTTACGTAGCTGATTATATCGCTGCATTTTCGACCCCTCCAAATTACAAAAAAAAAAAAAAATTAAAGATTAATTTCTTCTAATTCAGATCAATATTTCGCCGATTTAATTAATTGTAGAATCATGACTTTCATTCGATCGAAATTCCAAAGTACAATTGTTTTGCGATCGTCGTTTTGCGATAATTACTTTTACATTATAATTAAATCTTTATCATTGTAGCAATTTCTCTTAGTTTAAATAAATAAATCTAAATCGTATATACATATACATATATATAAGTAGCATGGCATGATATAAAGAGATACTGTAATTTTAATAAAATATAAATTGTAGACCTAAAGAATAAGTATGTTGAATTTTTCTTTTTTTCCAATGCTGCGTTCTTATAAAATCTTTTCTTTAATCTTTTGATCTTAAGAAAATGTGTATGTATGCGTAGGTGTGTGTGTGTGTATAATAAGCTTTGGATATTTTGTAGAATATTTTAAAATAAGAGGCACGTGTTTTTCTCTTTAATATTTATTCTAATACTTGCTCGTATTCAATTTAATTCCACACAAATCACTAAAACTATAAGATATATAAAAACAAATAATAAAATATATAAAATATATAAAAACAAATCTTGTATAAAAATCCTATGATATTGACAACAAAATTTAGAAATATGGAGATGTATTTTGAATCTAGATTTAAATTTTTTGTTCGTGGATTACTTTTAAACTGACATATTGCTATTATTTATTGAACTAAAAATCTATAATAGAACAGATATAAAGAGTTGTTTTCCTCTTCTATTTCGTGTTACTCTACAAAATCCAAAGCTCATAAAAATAGGGATGAGAAATCTGCAAACTGTTCCTCGGTAGACAATTACGGTCATTTTTATCGCAATATATATTTCTAATGTTGTGTTAACAGGCATTCCCCTCCTGGAGGAGAGTCCGGCTCGTCAGTCGATATTCTCCCTGCGCGGGCATTATTGAGGTGTGGGGAGGGGGGGAACGCGTGATCAAAAAATTCTCATCTTGCAATTTATAAAGCAAAAAACCACACGTGCACATTCCTGCAAAGATATCAAGAAAAACTGAGCGAAAAAACGGAGGAACGTTTATAAAGAACAAAAAATATCGAGGTCAAGAAGAATTTATCTACTCGCACTGCCTGCACCAAATATTTGGAAGAACGCACATGCATGCTTATGTGACATGAAGAGGCGACATCACGACATCGAACGTACAATTCGGCACGATTCTCTCGTTGAAAAGGACATAATCGCTAAAAAGACAAGATTTACTCGAGTTTGGCATCTTTCACACACGACACATTTGTAGTCTTTTAAGAGGTTCCCCTTTTCTGATTGATTTGCCGTGACCAATAGCCAAGAGTGACTACCAAAGGACGCGCCTTGCCGATGGATGATCGACTCGAGACGAGCTCTCGATAACTTGCTTACTTAATTATTCAACTCGTAACCATTAGAAATACACGAATAGGCATACGAGTAATATCCAGTAATATCAGCGCAAATCGACGGCCTACATAAGCTCGAAGATTTTCTTCATATCAAGAATCATTATATTAAAAGCTTAGAATTTTTCAAATCGGCTCAATTTTTATATTTATAGGTCCTATTTTATTTGAATTAAACAAAATTGATTTTTAATTTTTTTTTGATTAATCGTTATTTGATTATCATACTTATCAGATTTTACATATCTCGTTCAATCTCGAATATTTTTGGATTGTATCTTAAGTCTCGTTCTCTTCAACATCGCAGATGACCTAATTAGCCCGTGTTACAGATATAATATTCTCCGTTATCTCAGAGAGTCAAGGAAAATTATTTCCATTTCCGCTGTAACCGTCGGACAGGAAAAATTCGCGGTGCGAATCAAGATGCGGTAAGACTATAAAAGCACATCCTAACACGCGTTTCAATTGGGCCACGTGAATTGTGGCTGTCCGCATCCTCTGAGTATTTTCAAGTGTTACGAGTAGGGCCCACAAGTGGCCCACAAAAGCCGCAATCATTGAGTCCGACGAATCGACAGTGATAATGGGCGTCCAGGTGGAGGAGTCCAAGATCGGCGCCATGATCGAGAAGGCCAAGTTTTACACTTCCGTCTGTCTGGGCACCACGGCGATTCTCGCAGTCTTCGCTTTCTTGTTTCTGATACCGTTCGTCGTCGAGCCAGCGATAACGACCATACTAGCAGATTTTTCGCCGCATGCGGTCGCCTGCGTGACAACGAGTCACGTTTACGCGGAGGGTCTCAAGAACTGCTCGTGGGCAAGTTGCAGAGAAGGTGAGTCCTCGACCTCTTCCTCGGAATCTTGTCTCTTATCAAAACGTAATATCGGCGATGTCGTTGCCATCGTAGGTTGCACCAGTGCCGCGATTCGTTGTCATCAGATTAAGGTCAACTATACCAGACTCCCGTACGAGGAGTTCGTGGCAAAGCCATTGGGCTCGGTGCCGTGGGACGTCGCCGACACCGAATTCTTCGTGAACACGGAAGGTTGCGGTTACCCGCCCAGGGTTAATTGTTCCACTTTCGCGAAGAAATACGCCTACGAAAATACGGGAAAGATATTTCCCTGCTACTACAGCAGAACGCATCCAGAAACGGTTGTTGCAAGGTACGATCGATAAAGCGAGATATCGAGGAGATTCAAACTCGTCAAGGTGTCGCTGAATAACATAAGCAATCGTGCATATAATCGGCAGTTATCATATACATATATAGATATGTATGAACGTCGATTTCTGATTAGTCCAAAGCATAGCGCGCTATCTTATATCCGCAGATATTCGTGGGATGAAAATCTCAGGCACTTGGTGTTGGCCTTGATCGTGCCCATAGTGCTCTTCGCCGCGACGCTCGGCGTGCTATGCTACTGGTATTGTCCGCCGATGGGCAAAACCTGCGGCGGACCAGGTCGCAATCTCATCGACAAGTATGCTAGAAAGGAAGAGTAAGTGTATGTATGCAGCGCCCGATTGTGGTTAGCAGAAATCGTATTTTTCACAAAATTACTTTTGAAGTTTTAATTAGGCGACAATATCGAATACTATAAATCAAAAATATCAAGCATCGATAAATCTTTTGAATATTTATTTCATTCTTTTAAATTATATTAATTTAAAAGAGTAATATTCAATTTAATTAAACTCCACAAATATTTTTTTCTTTATTTTTGGCACTCAAACATTTTTTTATTTATAAGATTCAAATTGTCAAAGTAAGTCCTTTGTATTTTATGTGACTTATATTTCTCTTTCGTAATATCGTTCTGGCTTTTACAGCATCTTGGCAGAGGACGAGTTCGAGGAAGACGAAGAGGAATACTGACTGCTACCAAGGGCTCACCCCCCGGCACGGGAGTGATGCCAGCGAAATAATCTCCGAATGGCTCCAGCGTACTTTACCTTATAAATTTAAGCGATCGAGAGTAATAGTGTTTTTTAGAAGAAAAAAAAATTTGCCGAGAGCGAGCAAATGTGTCTCGTTGTTATTGCTTCTTACGAGTTTACTTTAAACTATGCTTCTAACGCTGCATCCGACTTGTTTTGTTCTCTAAATCTGCTCTGGATCATGCTTTCAATAAATGAAACGTACGTCTAGGTTTATGCCAGTGATATAAAAATATTTTTCTCTTTTTCTCTCTCTCTTTCTCTCTCTCTCTCTCTTTCTCTTTCTCGACATTACGATTGTGCACTGAGATTAGTTGTATGCACTTATTCGATATAAAAATAACGTTGGATTTACATAAATAATAATTAGCAAAAATAAAAAGTAACAAATCGAAGACCATCATTCGTAAAGAATCGCTCGGCGCGAGTCTTTACGAAGATTAGACCTTAAATTTATGATGTAAAGTAGGCCGTGGATGTGAGAGCACGGACTTTTCAATCATCTATCAGTATTCGATGAGGTATCTAGTTCGAAACACATGGCAGTGCCATAATGTATTAATAAAAAGGAAATAATATGTTATACATTGCAAATTAATTCAATTGATAATATCAATATCGAATGCTAATGTCTGTTAAATTATGTAACAGCATATATTCTGAAATTTTGTAGAAATCAACGACGGACTTCCGTGTGTTTCGGGCTTAACCGTGATAGAGGCGCGCCTTCCTATTTACGTGATAATTTAAGCAAAAGAATAGTTTTTAAACGGCACAGATTTTAGGTTTTTTACAGCAGCAGCATCGGGTTTAGACTAAGTTATACGGCCGTGAATTTACGACTGAAGTCACGTAAGCTGCCCTTTCGCGAAGTATCGATGGAAGCAGTGCGAGCTTGCGGCTCGGCGCAATTCATTAAGAAACGGACTCAAATGCGGACTCTGATAGGGCTAATCGCGTTACTCGCTACACTATATCACTATTGTTATGTTTCCGAAATTACTATTTAATCGTCCCTTTCTCTATTCGAATCATAAGGATAGGTTACTTCCTATTTTGCAATTTTTCTTAAATAGACAAGCTACTTTTGTATATTTGAGAAATGCATAAACGATATATTTCAAAAATTGAAAAAGAAATTTTTTCTCGTAATTATCTTCTCGAGAAACAGAAAAAGAAAACAAAATTTTGATGATGTACATTTTATAAAGACTCTATCAAAGGAAAGCAATTCATTCTTGATATCACTACTGACATTCGAAAAAATGATACAAACGTGATGTATCGAACTTGTAAATATATTCTATGAAAGAAAAAGCGTGAAGCAAGTGACGTGATTCGCTTTCAAAATCCGCTTCCGCACCAAGAAACGTAAGTTAAGGCTAGACCGTAAGTTAAGTCTGTGAATATTACCGATCGTAATACAATCGCGAAATCGATATAAGAGTTGTTACGAATTTTGTACGCGGACGCAAAGGTCACATCGTGGATTCTAGTTAGAGAAAAGATATATAAATCTAAAGAGAGAATATGCGCGTGTTATATAACTAATGCAAAAAAAAAACGCACTTGAGAACGCTGACATGTATCGTGCGCATAGTTTATAGTCGCATATAGAGATATAAAAAAAAAACTTTTAATTTGATTGTTGCAAGGAAGCGCGAACTACGTTCCATAAGCTACGAAACGACGTTGTTCACTGTTGAATTCTCATGAATCGTTAGCAATAATTAAAAATTAAATTAAAAATTATAAATAAACTAATGTAGATAATATAAAAGTTATTTTTAATTTTGATTGATGACGTTACACTAAAAACAATATGAGTATGTATTAGACAATTGAATTCATTCGATTTATGATGAATGAAGAAATTAATATTTACAATATTTAATTAGTTAATTTCTCAAAATGTGTTTCTCGGTTTTGTCAGTTGGTAGTTGAGTTCTATAATTATTTTTTTTTTTTTTGAAAAATGCTACGGATTGTATGTTTTAATAACGTTCGTTTCTAAGCGTATGGAAAGCATGTCGTAACCCTTTACATCATAGGATGGTTGTGAATCCTTACTCGGCCTTACTCTAGGTGTCCTTGATGTTAGAAGTTGCTCCCATGAGGCAGCAGCTTCCCGTGGACCCTGTGTTTTGGCACTCATTCCCCACTCAAAGCTTGCTAGTCTAATTTCCGTTACGACTGATCATCTGATCGTCTATGAATTGCGAATGTCCATCGATTTCATCCCGTATTAACTTAACGCAATTTCGTCCGATTCAATTCTCTTTCATCGTCAGACAATATGGATAACTTTAAAAATGCGAATGTTAAATTTGAATCATGTGTGGTACATTTGGATGACATTCAAAAGAAATCAAAATTAAAGACCAGATGATCTTAGATGAATATTGCGTTTGAAACACCATCGGAGCATCGAAATACAAATCGAAAGACTCCTTTTGTCTTCTCATGCACTCTTTTTTTGCGACGACTCTTGCTCAAAGATGCTCACAATCAACGAAACGACGGCGCAAATCAAATTCACGTGTATCCGCTTGTCGCGCTTTTCGCAAGTCGCAAAAATTGCAATTTAGTTTGCCGTCAAGTCATCGCAAGATTTTTCATCTTCGGTTAGAATTAGAACTCTTGTGTGATATTAAAATTCAAGCTTTCAAGCGAAACACCAAGAAAGCTTTTACGCGGACAATCTAGAAACGGTGATTCGCGTATAGTCGCAACTCTCGCATCACATATATCGGTTCTAGTGCCAATTAAATTCGCTAGCCCGACTAGCCGATTGCAATCGTCGTAGACAGCATTTTGATAGAATATTGCGAGAGAAGATTATGTATTATATAGAGACTGGGGATCTCAAGCAGATATGGCTCTTTTCATTGGATCACTTATGCATGGTTTTGTTCTATGAAGAATTTGAAATTAAAAAATTGAAATCTCTAAAACTTTTTTTAATCTTCCAGTATTCGGATAAACTTTCGATTGAATTTTGTTTTAAATAAAAAATGTGAAAATTGATTAAAAAAGAATAATAGCGCACATAAATTTTTATCATGAAAGTATTCCGAGTAAATATGCTTAATCTGTAAAAACTATTCTGGAAGATATTATCAGAAAGTTTATTAATCATGAATTATGTATATAAATATTTAAGAAGTGCAAATATTTGTTTAAGATCCCTCTATAGATAGGTGAACAAATTCTAGTATAATTCAGATAATTTATATGCAAGAGCGAAAAATGTAGCGTAAAAATTATTCAAGCGATTTTAACTAACAAGTAATTTAATCCCGCACGAGTTGAATAATAAAACGAGATATTACAAATTCTATTTCTATACACGATCTATATAGCTATTATATTTGATCTGAAAGTAACGATCGAGCCGATCGAGCGCTGTTTGGCTTTGATCGATTCGAAACGCGAGTGCATGCACACATATTATTACAATAAATATTACAATAATTATCTTTACATATTATATGTCCTCTCTCGTAATGTTATTTGACTACTGTAATAGTACTCGCACTTACTACAGCTGGATATTTATATCATGCCGACATTATTTCCCTCTCTCTTTTTCCTTATATGCAAAAAGATCTATAATATATTAATATATGAATGAAGAAATATATATATATATATATATAATATATATTCTTCGAGATGCCTCCTTTCTCTCTACTCAGAAATTTTCAAATCGTTCACTGTTTCATAAGCGTAACTCTATCATAGATATATATATTGTACAAAATACATATATATATACATATACGGTATATGTAAACCGTGCTCATTCTGCGATAAACAAACGGACTATTGTAAATAAGAGATATTGTACGACTTCGTTTAAAATATATAAAAATATCGTTTTCTGTTAATAGCGCCGATATTTTTTACTCATAATTATTTCCCTGAGGTTCTATTTTCCGAGAGGTAAAACAAATTTTTATTTCACATTGTCAGTAAATTGAATTAATTAAATTTAACAGAAAAATAAATTTTATGTTAATATATAATACATATATTATATTCTTTTTGCTTCTCATCATTTCTTGGCATTTGTCGTAGTATTTATATAAATTTTTACTGAAAAATATATGAGTAATATATAAATATGTATACATACTTTTATTTAAATTATTACGAAATTGCTTAAGAAACAAAATTATTTCGTTTAAAAGAATAGTTTCAAAGAGCGAGAAATATATAATCTGCCGACAAACTACTATAATAATAAAATTCAATCGTGTTACGTCTCAACTATGACATTACATGAAAAATCCTCACATGTATTATACGAGGATTACATAGCACTAAACGAAGACATTTGACCTTTTGCTCAAGGTCATAGTTGTAATCCAGTAGAACTAAAACTCCGCCCTACTGAGCTGATATCGAGAGGATGAATCTAAATCGATAAAATAGATACCGACTGACTTTGTGTTTCATAAAGCACTATACTTATAATTTATGATGTGCGATAAATGGCTTCACATTGCATAATATAAGATCGTTTGGATATTCCATTTGCTGACAATTCTACAAGGTGCAATTTTGATTATAAAATAAGATAATCTAAGCAAAATGAATATTACAAAAACGAATAATATTACAAAAATGAATAATATTACGAAATAAACGCAAAGTAAAATAATGTACGCAAAATGATAATATCACTTTATCGCACGTTATATAATAAAAGTAAATAATTTTCTTTCTTCTATTTTAAGCAACTGTACTATACAAGAATACATGTGAAATTACATCGTAATCGCGAAGAATAATGATATTTCTACAATTTTTTATACATATAATTTATGTAAAAATATACTAAATTACTTTAAATACATAATTAAATCATTCTTTAATACTGTAAAATAAAAAAACTGCCGTTTATAAATTTAAAATAGAAATTGCTAAATTTTATGAAGCTCTTCATCGTAAACAGTTACATTTTACGTTCACATTCAAAAAATTTTGCGACTCACTGCCCTATCATAGAATGAGGCAAGTCTATAAACTTGCGGTTCAATCAACGTTTCATTCTAGTATTTCACCATGGAAGAGATTCCCACCCCCATGAAAAGCGCAATACACGACCACGGCGCAAGCTCCGTGCGAGAGAGCTTGCGAGTCTCACCACTGACTGGCAGACTTGTTTTCAAACAGTGGTCGAAGCTGGTGAGGGCATAGCTACTTCGTATATGTACGCGTGAACGCGACTCCCTTCTTCGAAATGAAAAAATTGCGGCGAAGAGATTATCGTGTGAATCATGGACGAAAATACTTGTAAAATTATCGTTCAGCCTCGATGACCCAAACTCATATTAATCGCGCGTGAAATTAATCCTCGCGATTAAATGACATATAATTGGTTCTTGCGATCAAATATTATTTGTGTAATTATCAACAAAGTGTAAATTTTTCAGTGAAATGTGAGGTGAATGGAAAAAACGATGTACGTTATTGTATGGAAGCGAGTCGCAGAGAAAATATCGTGAATTCTCTTTCTATCCTGATCTGAAAAATTCATCGAATAAAATCTTGAAACATGCAACAATTTTTAGAACATTTTTCAAAGATACGTACTTAATAAAAACATAAAGAAGTTACAGTAACTCTGTCTAACTGCATTTCTTACAAGATAAGGATCGGCGAAATTGTGCGAAAAAATTATCGTCTTCTTATACAAGAAGAAAAAAGCATAATTATCTAGCATTAACTGTTTAAAATCAATGATCGAGCGGAAAAATCTTTTTATTTGGAAGAATACTTGATATCTTTGAAAGGCTGAAATATTCAACAAGCTCAAAGGTAAAGCAGTTTTGATTTTATTGGAAATTCGTTTCGCACGAGTAGTAAGTACTTACGTTTAGTCGGACAGTGGACACACACATTGCAGAGTGTTATAAATCTCGCAAAATTTTCAAAAGAAACCAAAGTTCTTCCCGAAAAATTCAAATTGACAAACAATAATTTTGCAAAAATTATATTTCCCAATTGTTTTTGTCGCTGTCAATAGTTTTTACTTTGTCAAAGAAAAAAAGATAATAACCAATTTTATGAAAAAAGAGGAAGAAACTCGGAAGATATAATCAGGACATGCACGCGCGCGATAAATCATTCCTAAGGGATGACAAACGCGGTTAAATAGCATGCCTATTGTTTAGCGACGTTCCAGGAGCAAGAATCTCAAAGGTATTACCGGCAAGATAATCGTTTAGCCCAAGGTTATTCGCAAATGGAACAATTATTAAGGATCGTACTATCGTAAATGTCCTCCAGACAAGCATCTCTCTTTCTTTCTCTCTCTCATATACAGAGATCGATTTTCTTTTTATGAATTTAGAATCGCAACATTTTCCTGTGTGTGAATAATAATGCGGACATTATTTTAAAAATATATCGAAGGGAATTTTACGTAAACAAGAAAGTGAAAAACATCTGGAGATATTAATTTCAAGAATGTATCAGTTTAAAGCATCAGTATATTAATTACAAATCGACGTTATGCCAACAAGAACTCGGAAACGATATAAAGAACGATAGAAATGATGTCAATGATGTCATTTCCGATGGTAATGGCAAGCGCAAAAATTTCTAGAATTGATAGCATCTTCTTTTTGTAAAGATCATTAAGCGGTCGCACGCTAATGAAGTTACGTATAATACGTGGTAATTGTCCTGAGTATATCGGGCGATCGAATGTGTTTAACAAAAGAATAGGGAGGGTCCGCGTCGTG